CATGTCAAGATTAAACATTGTAGCAACTGCATTGTCACTGCCAGTTAAGTTCAATTTTTCAGCAACAAGATTGACTGATTGAAAGTAAAATATAGATTTTAAATTAGATTTAACATGAGGTTTACCAACTTTATATGTCAATTCATTTAAAGTCACATTAAGCAGACTATCATGACTGCCATGAAAAGCTATTATGCAGTCCTTACTATTGCCATTTGTATTATTAACAAAAGAACAGTTGTTTAATGTGTGATCAACAGTAGCACTATATGAAGAATATGTAGTCATTAGTTTTCCACTGTTTTTAAAAAAATTCAGCTGCTCATAATTAAAAGTGGCAAACTTATGGTGAATGTTTACATGAATCAAACCATAATCACTCAGAAGATTACTATTATTGAGAAATGAATTGTTAAACAAATTGATAGACAACAAATCTTCAGTAGAACCAGACACTTCAAACAAAACTATAAGACCGGTGTTATCAGTAAAAATGGAATTATTGATTGTAAACTGAAAATTTAAATTAGTGGAATTTGACCCATATAACATTGGTGAAAGATAAGAAGAATACTGTAAGTAATTATGAGCAAAATAGCATCCTTGTAAACCAATCATAAAAGTTTTATTTTGCAAATGAGGAAAACTTACAACAAATACTCCAGACGAACCTACTGTAAAGCCAAAATCTCTAACATCTTGATTTGATTCAAAATGACAATTAAATAAAGTAATAGTATTATTATCAGCATTTGATATTAAGTTGTCATATGTGATTTGTAAAGGAGCATAGGGATTAGTGTAGCAGTCTGTAAAGTTAGAATTTCTAATATCGACGTCAACAGCATTTAATACTGAAAGACCAAACATAACTCGGAATGATGCCTGATTCATATTGACACTATACACACCAGAGATCTTTATTCCTATGACCACACTTTCACCACAACCAAAGAATCGGATATTATCAAAAGAGAGAACAGAACGATTGTTATTAAGTGAAGATATAAATTCTAGTGAACTATAATCAGCACAGAAAACAGTATATGGCGCATTCTCGTCAGCAATACTTTGTACGTGCACAGTGTTGGACACTTCATATTTCAAAGCATAGAAAGCCACAACAACTTGGTCATCATGTAAAATGAAAGTTAGGTTGGAAATTTCATTGCTTTTACAGTTTTCCAATGCAGTGCTCAGATTAGAGCACATAATATGGCCTGTAGTATTAGCATTCAGTGTACAATTACACTTACTGGGAGGTGTGGAAGAAATGATGTGAACTTCAACACCATCAGCATGAGCATAGGCTAGCAGAGCAATCAGTAAAAGGACATACACGAAGGGAGAAAAAGTCGCCATTGTATACTGTAGCATGCTATACACGCCCAAAAACTATAATTGTGTCTTAATAATTTGATTACAATCTAATCAATGGAAAAATAACTACAAATCAACCAGAAAATATTAGATGTATAAATAAAGCAAACAAAATAATAGCATTATAGTAAAAGAAAAAAAATTATTAGTTAAATTGGTTTTACATTTCAATCCTCATCATCAGCTTGAATAATACCAATGAGTGGTTCACGTTCACCTTCATCATCATCCATTATTAATTCTGTCCTCCTATTTGATCTTGAAGGCTGAGACTGACTTGTCCTCCATTGTATACTAAACCTGCTACTTTTAATCTTAAGCCTATGCTTACATTGTAAACAGAATATACCAATAGACCCTACCACCACATATAGCAGTGGAATTAATGTCATCATGTGCACCAGTACGCTAGTATAGATTGTCTTCCTATCCTCCAATTCTTCCTCTTTCTC